CCTTTCCCGTTGGTTTCGTAAGAGGCGACTAATAGAAGGCAAGGGATGGGCAGCAGCGTTCCTCTTAAAACATCTCTAAAGCCTAACTGCAGCAGTGGACAACTGGTTATGTTCAGCAGTGGACGGTTAAGAGCTGGTATGATGATGATGAATCTCTTCGTTTACGGTGGTTCGGTCATTTTATACCATTAAATTGGTGTACCATTCCACTTTTACCCATAATAAAGCCAGTCTTGCACTAACAGTGATGTAGATTTTATGTAATATTATGCAGACTTCCGTGGCTTTGCATAATAAGGTCTCATGTTCGATTATCAGTCGGGCCAATTTAGGCAAATTTTCTCATTTGGCTCGGGTCTGATTGTTCTGGTTTATGCTCCCAAAACTTCATTACCTGTTTCCTCATAACACAGGATATCCTAGCTTGAGAGCCAGGTAATTGGTATTATTGTATAACATTTATTACTTATTTTAAATATTTTAATTGATGGAGACCTAAAATTTATACCATGTGTGTGATTTACACCGTATGATTCCGGCATAGAATGAGTCACCGCTTCCTTTGCTTATCTTAAGAAGCAACTAAAGGAAGATAAAGATTTAGGGATACGCAACAGCGTCCCTCTGAATACATTATCAAAACTATGCTAACCAACCCGCCTGCCAAGCGTGGCAACCATTGGCCAAACTCCCCTTATGAGGAAGGCCTATGTCCAGCAGTGGACATTTAACGGCTGATATAATAATGTTAAGATTTAAAATTCATCTCGAAGGTCAAGTGTAACTATGGCAGGTGCTCCGCCGACATTCTACCAACAATTAGCCCACTTAACCTGCAACTAGGCGTAGTAAACAAATCCGGTCTTTGTCCACCGCGTTAACGTGCCCCGGCTAAGTGGTGGACGATCCTTGTTAACTTTTTAGGTTAACAAGGGGACGGTGCTGTTTACGTGGCCTGTTGGTGCAAGTTGGAAGCGATATGTTCATAAGGTTTTGTGTATAGAAATAAAAAAAAGACAGAAATATCGAGGTAGAATCTATACTTATAATAAATCTGTAGAGAGGTCAATTCTGTGCATGAAATATATTTCCAAAATAACTATCAGGGGGTGATTAGTGATCGATACTGATGTCAAAAATGCAATCAATAAAATTTTTGCCTGTCTGTCTGTATGTTCTTTATAGAAACAAAAACAACTCAACGGATTTTAACGAAACTTGGTACAATTATTCTTCATACTCCTGGACAGGTTATAGTATACTTTTCATCACGCTACGATCAATAGGAGCAGAGCAGTGAAGGGAAATGTTAAAAATGTCCACTCATGCGACGCCGTGACGGGCCGCTAGTTATTAATAAGTTTAGATAAAAAAATTGTATATATACACTTTTTATAATGAAGTTGGTTAATTGAATTAAATTGGAAGAAATATCTGTATCGGACTACATCGTGTTGTATTCAAGTAATTCATATTGCATAAGCGGTTCTAAATACGATATATTTATTGAAATACAATAATATTGTTAAATATTTATAGAAGAATTTATTAATATTGACTTTAATGAAAATATAGGTCCATCCTGAATGTATTCCAAAAAAATAAATAAATTCCTAACTATCAATATATAATATAATTTATTCTAAACAACAAAAAAAACCATCTTAATTATTAGGTATATTAGCAATCCGCTCTGACTTCGCACAGGAAGATAGATAGACAAATTAGTATTTTATATTAGCTTTATTAGGCAAATTTTTGATACCTTGTGTTACATTATTGTAAGTTTCATAGAGATTTAAAAAAAATATACATATATAGCTTATAGTATTCGATGATAATCTATTTTTCTATAAGTGAAAATTTTATTTAAATCAGTTGTGTAGTTTTTGAGTTTATCCATTACAAACTCTTTATAATATTGGTATTGACAATTTACTGTACCTATAACCATTTCAAAATTACACTACCTTAATGTAAATCAGTTAATGTAAATAAAGTTTCAAATCACATTACCTTAATGTAATTCAGAATTTGTTACCATATAATTTTAAATCCAGCTCACCGCCATCGCTTTTACCTTGAACTGTAGCACAAATACGTAATAACATAAATAATATACATATAATAATATGTATGTACAGTATTGTATTCTAAACTTATTTTTACTGAAAGACATCCACAGTAAATATCGGAGGCCTTAGCAATAGCACAATACAGCGTGTTATTTAGTTATTAGATTTACTTCTTAGTCTGTACAAACTGTAACGTCATAACAAGACGGAATCCAGAAATAATATCTAAGAAACTGAACAAGTTTCCAGGCACGTTCCAGAAAACTTTTTCAGTTTCATCATTTTCAGCGACAGTTGCGCACTGCTGTATACGCCCCTCCCCTACTACCCCCCTACTATAACTGCTAACTGTTCACTGGTGAACATAAGCCTTCTTCATAAGGGGGATTTTGCCAGTAGTCCTATACTTGACAGGCGTGGCACTACTTGCAAAATTCTCGTGCATGTCGTAAGAGGTGATTGACAGAATTTAATGGACGAAAGATAACCAGCAGTGTCCCTCTTTATACATCACCAAAACCTGACTACACTTGCCAACCCTCCTACCAAGCATGGCAACTATAGGCAAAACTCTCCAATAGGGGGAGACTTATGAATGAAAGAATGAGTATACTTTATTTGCATTATACAATATAGGGTAAAAACAAGACAATAAATATAACGATACAATTGTATAAGTACAGCAAGGCGGTCTTATTGCTGAGTGCAATCTTTTCAAGACAACCTTAGGGTAATGGACTAATTGTTGTACAAGTAGGTATTGTATAATTAAGAAAATTAACGGAATAAAATATTAAGAAAACAATTATAAACTTATGTTCAACTATGGACAGTTAACGGCTGATATTGCATGGTATGGTATAGTATTCTTAAAGATCTAAGACCTTAAGACCTGGTGACTTTTTTATCTTGATAGGCTAACTAGAAGTAGACTTCTAATTCCATAATCCACTCGTACGAAGTCCAAAGCTATTTTCTTTAATGGGTGAAGATGGAATGGTAACCCCGCCGGCGCTATCGGTATACGCTGGCAGGATACCAGTGAAGGGTGACAGGTGAGGATGAAAACAGGTCAATTGGCCCATAGTGACCAATTAAACAAGAATTAACCACGAGGATTTCCAGAGAGAACCGTGTGGAGGTCGACCTGATAGGGTGTATTGCTACTAATGGGATTGTTAAATCTCATTACTAATAATCCCTTTCCCCCCAGCCAAAAGCTATTAGGATATACAAGTTGAATTCATTATCTTTTGTAATGCTAGTTCGTAATATATACAGACTTTCTGTGTAAACAGAAACAGAGACAAACTGTCACCTGTAGCTTTGATGTTAGTCGTTTAACACTTGAATGCCAACGACAATGTCACCAAAACGGTCTCATGTCAAAATTCGGCATTTCCTTCTGGTCGTATTATCACTTATACGGTAATGGGAAGCGCGGGTGCGCGGGTGCCGGCATCTGTACAAACATGCACACATAAAGGAACTGTATCAGCCATAGATATTTATAAAAATAGTTTTTTTTTTTATACAACTTAGAATGGCAAACAAGCTGACGGCCCACTTGATAGAAAGTGGTAACCGTCACCTATAGACATGAGCAGTACCATGGACATAACAGAGTATACTGTTTCGCCCATAATACTCCCCATGCGTTGCTATTACTGAAGACGCAGGTGTTATTCCTCTGTACCCTGTAAATTCACGCCATATCCCACCCTTCAAACCGAAACACAGCCATGCAAACACAACTGCTTTACGGTTGAAACACGAATGGGACAGAGGTACCCAAGCAAACGACTTACGATGACACAAATCTAAAAATCAAAGCCTATGTCTACGTAAATATGTGGCCCACTTAGCATCGCAGTTTCCACAATTGCAAGTATTTCTAAGAACGCGACGAACTAAATACAGCAAGTATTCTCTCTTCCACAACCATACCAACCACATGTAAGAATCATGCGAATGTTGTCATATTTATAAAAAATACGCTTTAATTTTTTAATATAACTTTTTTGATGTCAGTACCAAAATGGTAACAAAACTTTATGCTTTTCAATTTGCTTATAACTCCTCCATTTTTCTAAACACTATTCGTACTTCTAGTAACTGTGCCCACAGCATCGTTTTCATGGTCAGAAAAAAATCCTTCTCCATTTAAAATTAAACACGTATGCCAAGTTTTATAGTGAATGGTCAATACCTTAGTATTAAGAGGTAAATAAACAAACTCACTTTTAATTTTAAATAAGTATTAGTAAGTTTAAAAGGATATCTTATTAATATAATAAAATTGTAACTAAATGGGAGATATTTTAAAAAAATCATATAGGTAAGAGAAGCAGAAAATATTTTTTTTGAAATTTTGTCTGTCGACTATCTGTTTATACATATATTTGTTCCAGTATATATATTCCTGAAGTTTTTCGTATTTATACGTCGTCTAGAAGTGATAAATTCATTAATTTTCATTCTTTCTTTCATTTATTTTCGTACTGTAATGTAATGTAACGTAATGTAAATGTTTTTGTACCTCTGAAGTCCACGCGTACGAAAAACTATATTTATAATAAATCTGTAGAAAGTCAATTCTGTACATGAAATATATTTCCAAAATAACTATCAGAGGGTGATTAGTGATCGATACTGATGCAAAAAATGCAATCAGTAAAATTTTTGTCTGTCTGTCTGTATGTTCGTTATAGAAACAAAAACTTTTTTATTTATGATTTTAACGAAACTCAGTACAATTATTCTTCATACGCCTGGGCAGGTTATAGTATACTTTTCATCACGCTACGATCAATAGGAGCAGAGCAGTGAAGGGAAATGTTAAAAGTGTCCACCCGTGCGACGCCGGGACGGGTAGCTAGTAACAAATGAAACAGAAAAACGTAGTAAGATTTAATAACACAAAAAAAAAAATCTTAGTTAATTCTTATATACTTATTCGCTAATCCTCTCCGCTGCAGCGGCCTCATATTTGCAGACATCCATTTTTACGTGACGATATTCTGAAATACAAACAGAAAGCGTTTAATATATTATAATGCTATCTTTCTACAGTCATTAAATGGAAGTACATCTCTAATTCTTATAATTTTTTTTATACGACTTAGAATGGCAAACAAGCTGACGGCCCACCTGATGGAAAGTGGTAACCGTCGCCTATAAACACGAGCAGTACCATGGACATAACAGAGTATACTGTTTCCACCCCTGATGGGGTATCATGCGTACCATGCGTTGCCATTCCTAAGGACTCAGGTGATATTCCTCTGTACCCTGTAAATTCAGGTCATATCCCACCCTTCAAACCGAAACACAGCCATGCAAACACAACTGCTTTACGGTTGAAACACGAATGGGACAGAGGTACCCAAGCAATCGACTTTTATACAAAGTAAAACAATTTTACCAGAGGGAGATTTTCTTATTTATTGTTAGACATTATTATTAGTCCAATTAAATAGTATAAATTACCATAACATCATCATCATTATTTCAGTCATTATCCGTCCACTGCTGGACATAAGCCTCCCCCATAAACTGCCATAGAGAACGGTCCTGAGCCACCTGCATCCACTGACTCCCTGCAACGCATTTCAGATCGTCACTCCATCTAGTGGAGGGTCGTCCTACACTGCATTTACCCGTACGTGGGAGTACTTCATTCATACGTACCGTATAATTAATAGTAACGTCGAGAAATACAATATTTAGTATGTATCTATCACACAGTCCCATTCATGCTATGAAAATCCAGTTGGCAACTGCAGTGAGATTTTGATTATGTTTTAAAACGGACGCTGCTGCCCATTCTCTGACCATTAAATTTCCTTATTTTATTGCTAGCCCATTCTATGTCGGGACCACACGGTATTATTATTAATTAAAAAAAATCTTACGTTTTTTCTCATCACAATTATATTCGTAAAGGTCACAATTATCGTTGAACATTCTCGTGATGCCCAGCGAATCCTGGCCGCATATAGGTACGAAGTCGTGTTGACATTGGTCCGCCATTTTGCAGAAATTTATTACCTGAAAACATAATTATATAACATTAAAACATAATTGTTATTAAAAACAATATAACCATATATTAAAGTATAATGTATCTATTATGAATTTAAATTACTTTTTTATCATTTTATGTATATTAATTCAGCATATCTAAAATTATAAATGAAGCAATTGTTTTATTTATACAATTAATTAATGAAGTAACTTGTTATTAAATCATAATTTTTATATTTCTAATTTAAGAACCATAAAAATATTATGATACCATTAAATATAAATAATTAAAAACATAGAAAATTATTATAACACAATTTCTAAATCAGTGAATTAAATAAATGAAATAAAAAATAATTGAACTGTCCTCAAGAAATATTTAATATATTTTTCAGAAATATTGTTAATAATAGATAATAATTATTTAAGAACTACACTATTAACAAATTAAAAATTAAGTACCGGCTCTAAAGGAAAGAAGTAATCTTCAGCTTCTATTTCTACGTGCGACCATACTTCTGCTGCTAGTACAAGAATTATTAAACCTGAAACAAATTATTATTTTTTTATACTACAATACTCATAAATAAACAAAAGTCACGATTAACGGCAAACGGTTACCGCAGCCTAGAGCTGTTTGCAATACCAACAGTATCATGTGCGCATTACTGTAAGAAACCTTATTACAGAAGCTTATCAATATTCTTACTAAACTAGGTATTATCTTGTGCAGTTTAAAATTATTTTGTTTAATTCTGCTATCATTTGTATGTGTAATTTGCCTGAAGATCCCTCGTTTAGAGGAGAAACACGTGACGCAAAACGTGCGCGAACAAAATGGTAGTCGGAGATTGATGACAAATATATAAAGGTTGTGGAACTTCTAGTAGTAATAGTGGTAGTCAATCGAGTGTTGGTAGTCACACACATACAAATGTTAGCGGAATTAAACAAAATAATTCTAATCAAATAACCAGAAACTTATCATTTATTAATCCCTTTTTAAGAATCTTCATACAGTCATCTACATACATCATTCCTATTATCTGAGTAACTGCAATGTGTGTGTTCATTTAGTCTACAAATATGAGGATGAATTTCCTTCTCGATGGCGATTGGAGAGATGATAAAAGTTGGCTATAGACGTCACTTCAAACAAATCTTTAAACACAATCAGTTATTCAAGCTAATAAGAATTAGTTTATTTCTTATTATTATTACTATGAACTAATCTTTTTTTTATTTCAGAAAAAAATGTTAAACCCCTCTGTTAGAACACCTCGATATAAGAATGCAAATGATTTTTACTCCATCCTGTATAGTACTTACTTGTAAATATTTTTTTGAATAACATAATATCCACACAAGCAATCCAGTTGGTACACCGCGGTAATCTAGTTTAGTACTTACTAACAATAGTATGTTTTCAATATCTACTAATACATACTATTATAGTAGAACAGGAAATTATGAGTAAACACGCGCTTTATGCTGAATACTATCTAGAGTACAATATCCATGTCAGAGATTACAAACATTTTGATGGTTAAGAATTTAAATAATTTAAATATATATGACTAAAAACTGTCTAGTTTCTGGTCACTAACAAAACGTAGGTACTTATGTACCTACGTTTTTTAGTAAACTAAGGATATTTTCAACCAACTTCAAGAAGAAGGAGGTTCTCAATTCAGTTGTATTTTTTGTTTGTTACCTCATAACTCCGTCGGTTCTAAACCGATTTAGATTCTTCTTTTCTGAAAGGATATACTTATAGATAAATCTCATAGGAATTTTATCAAAATCAGTTTAGTAGTTTTAAATCACAATAAGGCTTTATTACAAATGCAGTCAGTTTTAGTAAAGTACTTTAATACAGTTAAGTGGAAAATATCCTGTGAGCCCAACTGATAGAGTCTATTAAAAATAAATACTAGTTGGAACCTAGGATATTGTCTATCTGTTGTCTACCAATTCATTCAAATTTGTATATTTATATTTTTTTATATATTTGTTGTTTTCTAAGTAAGTAACTTGCAAACATTTTGATATATTATTATTATATTATATATACTTCTCGTGTCAAATAACTACCGTGTTTTTCTTTTCTCCTCTACCCAAAAGTTGCTTGGAAGAGATTGTATTAACGATAAAATCGCCTTTTGTAATTCATAAATGTAATAATAATAATAATACATTATATATAAATGTAATTTATAAATTAAAATTTTGTATAACTCTTTAAGTGATGCAATAAAGAGTAAATAAATAAATAATTATAGAAAATCGATTTGGAATTGATGCAGATATTTTATAACATACAAAGAACGGTGAGATAAGAAGCTTCTGTTTTCGGACATCGTTTAATAATTATTAAGATATTTTGCTTCGAAAGCAACATAATTTAATAACGTAACTAACCTAAACATTTTATTGAAACTTGATTGTGTCATTTTAATTTAATTAAACAATTAGATGAGTTGTACAACCCTATTGATGCAAACTAGTGAAAATCAATGTAAACACTATACCTGAATATTACCAAACAATTGTTTAAAGTAATAAATAGCGAATTATATCCATGTCGAACAGCCATGTGGCATAATTTATTGATTCATTGTAAGTAACTTTTCTTTTAATTTATTCTTTTCTTTTATTTATAAAGCTTGTTTTAACTAAAAATAAATTTATCAAATTTTACAGATATATCTTATTCGTTCTTTTATCTGCAAATATACGGGCATATTCCGAATTATGCAGTAACGCCATCTGTAAGTTAAATAGTACCTACCCATTTAATATCTATATACAATAAATAAAAATTAAACACTTTTTATTAGTAATCGCATTATTTATAGGAATATATATTAGGAACTGGTGAACTGATTTGACATTTTTTTTTTATTATCACAATAATCAGGAATGAAATGAAATTCCGAAGTTTCGGACTCAATTTCGTGTTTTCGTTCATACCTAATACTGCCCAGTAAATGGAGCTTAACATTTAGTTCGTCATAAATCCTACCATAAAAGTCCAAAAGAATAATATTTTAATATTTTTAATCGGTAAGTATTTTGTAATTTTAAAATCAAATTTGTATTTCGTTCGGCTCCGAAATTTTGGAAAACATTTCATGGTAAGCCCTCAGTACTTTAAGCAAAAGAAGAACTAATACAAATTGAAACAAAAGAATTTTTGTTAAGCTGCATAGATGGAATATCAAAACGGTTTGTTAAAGTACCAAGGGGTAACAAAGAAACAAACTTACTTCCGTATATTATAATATTAGCTGTATTCCACCGCTTCACCCGCGTGTATTAATAGAACATAAGAGTTCATTACCAGAGGGAGACTTTGTACAAAAGTCGATTGCTTGGGTACCTCTGTCCCATTCGTGTTTCAACCGTGAAGCAGTTGTGTTTGCATGGCTGTGTTTCCGTTTGAAGGGTGGGGATATGGTGTGAATTTACTGGGTACAGAGGAATAACACCTGAGTCCTCAGGAATGGCAACGCATGGGGGGTATCATGGACGAAACAGTATACTTTGTTATGTCCATGGTACTGCTCATGTCTATAGGCGACTGTTACCACTTTCTATCAGGTGGACCGTCAGCTTGTTTACCATTCTAAGTTGTGTAAAAAAATCTTACTATACAGTACGAGGCAAGATATTGTGACGTAAAAAATATACTCACTCCGAAGAACGCTTCCGAATAAAGTCAAAATAATTGTTGGTAACGACAAACACAGTAATTTCATTAAAATCCCGATATCCTGTATCGTTATATATTAAGTTTTTAGTTTCAATAACTAATTATAAAAACCAATACATAGTTATGATTCAATATCATACAGAAGCTGCACTATTTTTTTTTATAACACAGGATGCAAACGAGCATGCGACTCACCTAGTGGTAAGTGACTACCATCGCCAATGAACACCCACAACACTAGAGGCATAGCAGTTGTACTGCCGGCCTTTTTAAAAGGAATACGCTATTTTCTTGAAAGTTACGATAGCGTACACTACTCATATCAATCAGGAAATGTATGTAAATGTATAAAATTAAAAACTAAAAAATAATAAAATTTTTATTTCAGAACACAATAGATCAATTTTGCAACCTGGCAGATACTTGCGTCCACGACACTATACCAGTCTGTGGGAGGATGGGGGAAGAGAAACGTACCTTTTTGGATATTTGTGATATGCTCGAGTTTGCCTGTGACACTAATCAGGGTAATTCTTTTTTTTAAACAGTATTTTCTAGTTGTAACCCATATCTCTGCCCGCGTAAATCTATAAATAAAAATTAACTGTGTTGCTAAACGCACAATTCGAAAATTCAGCATTTTTTTTTTCTATATTTTTTAAAGTCAGAAAAAGGTTCTTACGAAGAAAAAAATCGGAGAAATCACCCAGAAAAAGTTTTAACTCTATTTTCTTTTTTACACAAATGGTTTCCCGCTGTGAATTCAAATGCTTAACTTTTGATAGAACGACATCTATCGGATGAGCTATTATTTAAAATACCCTACGTATTAATGTAGGATAGGTTCTATGTACTATACGTCATTCAAATCTAGTCAGCCATTTAAGTATAATTTACTAACGAACACCCAAACTCAAATTTATAAAGTACAATGATTTTTGATTGAAAATTGTTTTTTTTAATAGTGAGTTAAAAAATAAATAAATAAATACTGATTGACTTAAAAAAAACTGAACACATCTTGTACACATACGGCGTATCTAGCTTTCAAGTCAGTATGAGAGGTACTAAATTTTTTATTATTTTTCAACTCACGTTTTTTTTCGATAAAAATATTTAATATCGCAAGAAAACAATACTCAGTAACAGTATTACAATTATTTTAATTTCAACCCGCATACCTTCTATTGTTACTGGAGATCCGCCCCGCCTTCGCATGGGTAGAAAGATAAAAAAAATATATTAGCTTAGGCAAAGTTCTGATACTTTGGGTAACATTATTGTAATATTCGTATGGATTTCTATTTTTTTTTTTTAATAATGTATATCTTATCTCACTAGCTGATAATATAACTTTCTATAGGTGAAATTTTTTGTAAAATTTTTCAAAATTTTCTTCTTTATAATACTAGTACATATACTGTTCAATTGTTACTTAATGAATAAATTAATGACAAATAAAAATTTAGAACTTTATTAACTTTTTCTTTCAGTATACACACACATAGATGACACTGAGGGATGCCCATAGACTAAAGAGAGAATCTTTCTATAAATCTTTTATTCTGCCCTATTTATTTCTAATAATAATATCGACAAGATATGCCAGGTAATTATCAGATACTTTTCGAGTTAACAAAACTAACTTAAACTTCTATTGTAAAAATAAAGAACAAGCAAGCTAAAGTGGAAATGGGCTGGTCACATAGCTCAAAGAAACAACAACCGGTAGGGAAGAAATATATATAGTAGGACGAAATCCCACTAGATGGAGTGACGACCAAATGCATTGCAGGGAGTCAGTGGATGCAGGTGGCTCAGGACCGTTCCTTATGGCAGTCTATGGGAGAGGTAAGTATTCAGCAGTGAACAAATAATGGCTGAGGTGATGATGATGAATACGCATTTTTTTTTGTATGTATAATAATAATATTATATTTTCATGTGAATTGTCTTACGTACACGTAAAACATTTTTTTTTATACAGTTTCAAATTTTATTAAAAATGAAATGAAACATTTTATATATTTTTCTCATTTCAGATAATTATTCATGGAGCAATACTATGTGTAGCGATTGTTAATTTCAAGACCAAGGAACAACGAAACAACCAATATCAACATGGCAGGAAAGATACAGACAGAAACTACGTCCGCTTTGAATGATTTTTCAATTTATATATAACTTCTAATATTGTTTTCAAGGTCTAATAATATTATGTATGATAATTATAATTTATTTATTATAAAAACTTTATTATATATTTTAAACAAAGTATTAATCGCATATCATAAACATCTAGAAGTGTTCGAGGCCCAGACATACAACTTTTTACGCAAAAAGAATATTTACTTAAATATGTGTTTAAGTATCATTACGGTAATGTTCTCTGGGTTGACCTGGGATTGTGTGAGTGGGAAGAGTAGATGGAGGGTTACGTGTGAGCGACAAGGAGGTTGATATCTCGAAGGTTGACCGGGTAACAGGTTGGGGCAGAATAAGTATAGCGAGTGCGGTAACGTACGGTGGAACGGGCGCATCTTAGGCGGACGACACAAAAAAATAAACCAGGGTTAACCTACCAGAGCAGGGGGCAGGTAGTAACATCGATTATATCTATTTTAATTAACTTTAAAAATGGCAGGAGTTGTCAAATTCAA